ACTAATGTTGGATCAAACCTAATTCTGGGCAGTATAGTGTCATAGTTGAAGAAACACCCTTTACTTTTTTCTGTTCTCAATAATGTGTGAATGAGTCCCCTTTATTAGAGGTCGTTATGTTGTTAATGAATACATTAACATCTGAGTTTTTGAATTGCAAATCTTGTCCCTTTGCTGTAGGGAGAGTCTGGATTTCCTGGAAATCCTGGGATGCTTGGTGAGAGGGTAAAGGATTTTTCGTATACTTCTGTATATTTATATGCGTTTTAATCTGGAGTTAGTAATCTTTGATTTTCTTTTTTCCTTATTTCTTTGTGCACAATAGGGTCTTATTGGTTTTGTCGGACCTGTCGGTGAGGTGGGGTTTCCTGGAGAAAAGGTCAGCATTCCGTTTCACAGCATTCCGCCATGTGTAATCATGTTAAATTCAGATTAATCTTGGTTCCTGTTTATATATGGCATGTGTTTTAAATCAATCATCAGACATTTATGTTGGTTTTGTATCATGGTCAATGTTGTCTTTCCTTGATGTTAGTGTTATCTTCTGCTGTGTTGTTTGGCTTAGATGTGTTTCTTGTGCTCTCAGGGAGATCGTGGTGAGATGGGTCTGCCCGGACCACCTGGAGAAAAGGGAGCGATGGTAAGGAGTAAGTCTGGATCTCGTCTCTGCTCTCAGGGGAACTCTAATACCCACTTAACCTTGGGCAGTCACTATAACGCACACAGATCACAGCTACAATAGTTGGAAAGGGAAAATGCCTCATCAGCCATTTTCCATTCATGAGATAATCAGCTAGACCACTGCAAGAGTCATTTCCCTTTCAATGGCATAAGGAAATTGTAGCCATTTGCTGCGCAAAGTGGTTTGGAAACAATGTCAAAGTTTAAACCAAATTCAAGCCACTCCAAAGAAGTCCAACAGCAACCTTCCAGTCTTTCCAAGAAGTTTTGTCGTCATTTCAGTGTTTCAATAGTTCCTATAACACTTAAAACTTGTCTGTATGTATTTGTTGCCCATGGCAATTCAAAAAATAGTCCGTCTTCATTTCCATTGTTAATTATGTGCGCTTGCCAACGAACAACATAGGAGTTGTTCTCAGTGTAGTTTGCTACATCATGCTTATAAGAGCTCTTTCTTCTATGCTGCATAAATATGTTAATAATAGTCATCACAAGCTTTTTTGTTTAAATTACCACACCACCAAGTTAACTTGCAATGGTGTACAGTAGTGCAGTTGAAACGGAACAATAAAACAAATACAACTGAGTGAGAGTTTTTCAGAGTTTATTTCTTGTAATAGAGATTGTTCTATAATGATGTGCCGGTTATTGTTGTTTTAGGGACACCCAGGGGCCCCGGGTGAGAGAGGCCCATCTGGACCAGAAGGTACACCAGTAAGTCAGTGTTATGTATTCAGTAAATATGATCTGACTTCATTTATCCCTGGCCAAGAGTCTCTGCAAAAAGTAACATCAGCACAAATCAGCTCTGTTTATTTAAATATGACATTAAAACAAAATAAAATATTCTGAGAAATGTCTTGTACTTAAATAAAATTTCATTAATGTAATGGTACTTTTACTTGAGTAGAATATTTTAGTACTCTTTCCACCCCTGTTTATAACATTTGCCCTTAATTTTTTTTGTTCTCACACATCACATGTGTCTTATTTCATCTCAAGCTCTTCACTGATGCTGTTGTCTCCTTGGTAAACAAGTACACTAATGTTGGATCAAACCTAATTCTGGGCAGTATAGTGTCATAGTTGAAGAAACACCCTTTACTTTTTTCTGTTCTCAATAATGTGTGAATGAGTCCCCTTTATTAGAGGTCGTTATGTTGTTAATGAATACATTAACATCTGAGTTTTTGAATTGCAAATCTTGTCCCTTTGCTGTAGGGAGAGTCTGGATTTCCTGGAAATCCTGGGATGCTTGGTGAGAGGGTAAAGGATTTTTCGTATACTTCTGTATATTTATATGCGTTTTAATCTGGAGTTAGTAATCTTTGATTTTCTTTTTTCCTTATTTCTTTGTGCACAATAGGGTCTTATTGGTTTTGTCGGACCTGTCGGTGAGGTGGGGTTTCCTGGAGAAAAGGTCAGCATTCCGTTTCACAGCATTCCGCCATGTGTAATCATGTTAAATTCAGATTAATCTTGGTTCCTGTTTATATATGGCATGTGTTTTAAATCAATCATCAGACATTTATGTTGGTTTTGTATCATGGTCAATGTTGTCTTTCCTTGATGTTAGTGTTATCTTCTGCTGTGTTGTTTGGCTTAGATGTGTTTCTTGTGCTCTCAGGGAGATCGTGGTGAGATGGGTCTGCCCGGACCACCTGGAGAAAAGGGAGCGATGGTAAGGAGTAAGTCTGGATCTCGTCTCTGCTCTCAGGGGAACTCTAATACCCACTTAACCTTGGGCAGTCACTATAACGCACACAGATCACAGCTACAATAGTTGGAAAGGGAAAATGCCTCATCAGCCATTTTCCATTCATGAGATAATCAGCTAGACCACTGCAAGAGTCATTTCCCTTTCAATGGCATAAGGAAATTGTAGCCATTTGCTGCGCAAAGTGGTTTGGAAACAATGTCAAAGTTTAAACCAAATTCAAGCCACTCCAAAGAAGTCCAACAGCAACCTTCCAGTCTTTCCAAGAAGTTTTGTCGTCATTTCAGTGTTTCAATAGTTCCTATAACACTTAAAACTTGTCTGTATGTATTTGTTGCCCATGGCAATTCAAAAAATAGTCCGTCTTCATTTCCATTGTTAATTATGTGCGCTTGCCAACGAACAACATAGGAGTTGTTCTCAGTGTAGTTTGCTACATCATGCTTATAAGAGCTCTTTCTTCTATGCTGCATAAATATGTTAATAATAGTCATCACAAGCTTTTTTGTTTAAATTACCACACCACCAAGTTAACTTGCAATGGTGTACAGTAGTGCAGTTGAAACGGAACAATAAAACAAATACAACTGAGTGAGAGTTTTTCAGAGTTTATTTCTTGTAATAGAGATTGTTCTATAATGATGTGCCGGTTATTGTTGTTTTAGGGACACCCAGGGGCCCCGGGTGAGAGAGGCCCATCTGGACCAGAAGGTACACCAGTAAGTCAGTGTTATGTATTCAGTAAATATGATCTGACTTCATTTATCCCTGGCCAAGAGTCTCTGCAAAAAGTAACATCAGCACAAATCAGCTCTGTTTTGTGTCTTACTTTTGTGTTGTAATTTCCACATCTTGTGCAGTCATCAGGTCTGAATCTTTCTAGGTAAATCCAGATTACAGAAACATCATAACCGGCCAAGTCTGTCTCATTTTATTCAGTAATCAAATTAACATTTTGCCTCCACACAGCACTGTTTACGTTCTCTCATTAGAACTGTCCGTGGACACTGATGATAGACACTAGCATAATTAGCGTCCTGACAACTCCTTGGGCTTCTTTGCTCTTTTCACACAAATGTTGATGCCATGCAAGTGTTTGGCAGGAAATAGCTTTTGAAGGCACTCGGATGACCCTGTGAGGAGGGCAAAAAGTGCAGCGGATTACAAACATAAACACCAGCCTTTAAAGGACAGTGTCTTATTTCATCTCAAGCTCTTCACTGATGCTGTTGTCTCCTTGGTAAACAAGTATACTAATGTTGGATCAAACCTAATTCTGGGCAGTATAGTGTCATAGTTGAAGAAACACCCTTTACTTTTTTCTGTTCTCAATAATGTGTGAATGAGTCCCCTTTATTAGAGGTCGTTATGTTGTTAATGAATACATTAACATCTGAGTTTTTGAATTGCAAATCTTGTCCCTTTGCTGTAGGGAGAGTCTGGATTTCCTGGAAATCCTGGGATGCTTGGTGAGAGGGTAAAGGATTTTTCGTATACTTCTGTATATTTATATGCGTTTTAATCTGGAGTTAGTAATCTTTGATTTTCTTTTTTCCTTATTTCTTTGTGCACAATAGGGTCTTATTGGTTTTGTCGGACCTGTCGGTGAGGTGGGGTTTCCTGGAGAAAAGGTCAGCATTCCGTTTCACAGCATTCCGCCATGTGTAATCATGTTAAATTCAGATTAATCTTGGTTCCTGTTTATATATGGCATGTGTTTTAAATCAATCATCAGACATTTATGTTGGTTTTGTATCATGGTCAATGTTGTCTTTCCTTATGTTAGTGTTATCTTCTGCTGTGTTGTTTGGCTTAGATGTGTTTCTTGTGCTCTCAGGGAGATCGTGGTGAGATGGGTCTGCCCGGACCACCTGGAGAAAAGGGAGCGATGGTAAGGAGTAAGTCTGGATCTCGTCTCTGCTCTCAGGGGAACTCTAATACCCACTTAACCTTGGGCAGTCACTATAACGCACACAGATCACAGCTACAATAGTTGGAAAGGGAAAATGCCTCATCAGCCATTTTCCATTCATGAGATAATCAGCTAGACCACTGCAAGAGTCATTTCCCTTTCAATGGCATAAGGAAATTGTAGCCATTTGCTGCGCAAAGTGGTTTGGAAACAATGTCAAAGTTTAAACCAAATTCAAGCCACTCCAAAGAAGTCCAACAGCAACCTTCCAGTCTTTCCAAGAAGTTTTGTCGTCATTTCAGTGTTTCAATAGTTCCTATAACACTTAAAACTTGTCTGTATGTATTTGTTGCCCATGGCAATTCAAAAAATAGTCCGTCTTCATTTCCATTGTTAATTATGTGCGCTTGCCAACGAACAACATAGGAGTTGTTCTCAGTGTAGTTTGCTACATCATGCTTATAAGAGCTCTTTCTTCTATGCTGCATAAATATGTTAATAATAGTCATCACAAGCTTTTTTGTTTAAATTACCACACCACCAAGTTAACTTGCAATGGTGTACAGTAGTGCAGTTGAAACGGAACAATAAAACAAATACAACTGAGTGAGAGTTTTTCAGAGTTTATTTCTTGTAATAGAGATTGTTCTATAATGATGTGCCGGTTATTGTTGTTTTAGGGACACCCAGGGGCCCCGGGTGAGAGAGGCCCATCTGGACCAGAAGGTACACCAGTAAGTCAGTGTTATGTATTCAGTAAATATGATCTGACTTCATTTATCCCTGGCCAAGAGTCTCTGCAAAAAGTAACATCAGCACAAATCAGCTCTGTTTTGTGTCTTACTTTTGTGTTGTAATTTCCACATCTTGTGCAGTCATCAGGTCTGAATCTTTCTAGGTAAATCCAGATTACAGAAACATCATAACCGAGTGCAGTTGAAACGGAACAATAAAACAAATACAACTGAGTGAGAGTTTTTCAGAGTTTATTTCTTGTAATAGAGATTGTTCTATAATGATGTGCCGGTTATTGTTGTTTTAGGGACACCCAGGGGCCCCGGGTGAGAGAGGCCCATCTGGACCAGAAGGTACACCAGTAAGTCAGTGTTATGTATTCAGTAAATATGATCTGACTTCATTTATCCCTGGCCAAGAGTCTCTGCAAAAAGTAACATCAGCACAAATCAGCTCTGTTTTGTGTCTTACTTTTGTGTTGTAATTTCCACATCTTGTGCAGTCGTCAGGTCTGAATCTTTCTAGGTAAATCCAGATTACAGAAACATCATAACCAGCCAAGTCTGTCTCATTTTATTCAGTAATCAAATTAACATTTTGCCTCCACACAGCACTGTTTACGTTCTCTCATTAGAACTGTCCGTGGACACTGATGATAGACACTAGCATAATTAGCGTCCTGACAACTCCTTGGGCTTCTTTGCTCTTTTCACACAAATGTTGATGCCATGCAAGTGTTTGGCAGGAAATAGCTTTTGAAGGCACTCGGATGACCCTGTGAGGAGGGCAAAAAGTGCAGCGGATTACAAACATAAACACCAGCCTTTAAAGGACAGAGCTTTCACCCTGTAGTTGTAATCGGGTCAAGTGATGTTTGTTTGCCTGCCAGAGACTCTTGCCAGCTCTAACTAAATTTCTCAGGGAATGTTCTCCTGCTGCCTGATTTAGGACTCTGTTCTGTGTTTCCAGGGGCCTCCCGGGTCTAGGGGCCTCAGCGGCACCAGAGGACCCAAAGGCAGAAGGGTAAGAACTGATCATTTTGACTATTAGTAATGATGGTCCTTACATAAACATGTGCTTTGGAAAGTCAAAATGTTCAAGAATTAAAAGTAAGACATATTTTTGTAACTAAAACAGTATAATGGTCAAGCTACGCTCATCAGCAGAAGTCTTAATTTCACTACTCTATTCAATTAACATATTTTTGTAATCTCTCTAGATAGTTATCACTGTATACTCAAGATTTCTTTTCTTAGAGGAGGCCATTCAAGTTCACATAGGCCTGTGATGAGTTTTGCATTGGCATATAGTTCTGTCATCTTTGGATAGTTTTGCATCCTGCTAATGCAGTGGTTACTGGAAGCTATTATATTTCTTTAGCTATATATTTCCTTTATATTTACAGTCAGTGACAATATCATGGCAGAAGAGCTTGACAGATGGTATCTTCACATCAGCTCTGATTACATTACCATTAAAACCTAATTAAAATATTAAAACTACGCGCCACTTTTACGTTCAAATTATTTTAGTTTTATCCCCACAATGATGATAATGTCTACAAAGCTCAAGCACAAAACATTAGGGCAAACCTATCAATGATTGGGGAAAAAAATCTATTTCACATAATGTTTTTAAAAAACAATAAAAATAAAGTCCAGCTGCAGTTGTACTATCACAATGAAGGAATCAGTGCCACTCACAGGGTTCTGCTCCGAATCAAAGCGAGCCATGGACAGTCTCCGATCAGCTGTGGAGAAGTGACAATACTCATGAGCAGCTTGGAGCATTTCGGATTTACTGTGAAAGTCAGGTTTTCGCGTGTGTCATAGGTTATGGGTAATGGGAACTGGTGGGGGTTGCTAAAGAGTTAAGCCTTCAAGTACTGATGGGGAAGTCCCAAGCTTGGAGATTAGATTATGTCAATGATGTCAGATTTATGATGATTCTCAGCAGATAAGAACACTCAAAAAACTCTTCAAGTCAGTATGAATACCATTTGCACCAATTTTACTTCTGTAATGTGACATATTTCAAAGAGAAACACAATATTCAATGAGAAAAAATGTAGGATTGGCTGATTTTATCCTTCAGAAATTGATTAATTGTGAAAACCGGCCTTTCTATTACCTAATTGGCTTTAGGTTAACCTTATCCAATAGCTTGCACAGCCTACATGAAAAAAGCACTTGAGTATTATTATTTTAGTTTGTTTAAACTTTGTTTCTATTTCTTTGCAATAACCTGCATTGATATATTGTTCACAGTAAGACCAGGAACATGCATTAGGAAAGTTAATAGGGTCCACTATGATTTAGTGTGGACATTTGCATTGAAGCTTCACTCTTAATGAATTTCACATAAGTTCATGTTGTTTAATGTGTTAATACAATCTCTAATAGCTTTCTAGCTTCCCATCAGAAATTTCAGCACTTATACTGTCTTTACTCGCAAAACACATTTCATAAACTTAATTCACCATTACAAATGAAACATTAATCCTTCAACAAACAAAAAATGAACGGCAGTTAGGACTGAATTACCACTGATGGAAAACGTGGAGGTCTGGGATTTGAGCCTCGTCATTTTCAAAATGCTCAGTTCTGTTAGTTCCCACAGACAGATCCATTTATCTCACTGCTCTTTAGAGGCCAATATTCATGTAATTTACTGAGGAATATAAAGTCTTCTCACCTCACAGACAAATTAAAAATAGTTTGAAATATTGATAATAAAGTTAAAAGTTCATTGGGCATGCTGTCAGATCAACTCAAATTCTTAAATCTTCTGAGGCATTCAAGTCCTCCTTGAAAGTTTGTATTTGTGAGTTAGGAAGCTGTAATTGCAACATTGCAAGATGGTAATGTACCTTTTCTACAATACAGAAAGATCCTATAAAATGATGAAAGAATGCACATTAGGTGTTTTTTCTTTATTTTTATTCAATTTATGCTGGTGGAGTTAATTGAATTCACTATACTGTTGTATTTTGTACATGCAATTTAGTTTCTTTGTAAATGCAGCTATTTTTTATTGTAAATAACAATCGTTGAGCATGCCAATCAGCTTAACACAGCAACATTGACTACCAATAATGTGATTTTTTTGTGAATTCAGTTTTCTAACCAATATCAGAGAATGTTCAGGAAGAATGTTCAGGTCGTACGTTTTGCAGTTAAATTTGGTGATGCTAGTGGGACAAAAATACTTAACGACTGAGGTGAGACCCTTGAGCAAGGCACCGAACCCCCAACTGCTCCCCGGGTGCCGCAGCAATATGGCTGCCCACTGCTCCGGGTGTTTTCACAGTGTGTGTGTGTGTGTTTGTTCACTACTGTGTGTTTGCACTTGGATGGGTTAAATTCAGAGCACAAATTCTGGGTATGGGACACCATACTTGGCCACACTTCAATTCACAATATATATATATTCTAAAATAAAGTGTTACTGAAAAATTCTACTCAAATTCAGCTGATGTTTTGTTGAAAATCTACAAACCATTGCCACTGAAACAAGGGCAGGGCTGTTATTTAGAATTAGGATTCAGAAAGATTCTGATGTTTTATTTTTGACCTCCTTTTTATGATTCAAGTTTCTGTCCAGGCCTGATTCCAATCAGTCCAAATGTTGTCATTAGCCCCTGAAAGGTCAAAGGTTTGCTGAATGACATCACATCACAAGAACAGAGGCAGCAGTGTTGCACTGGCCCTCAAAAGCAAGTTCTGTCAGAGGAGCACCACACGTCTGTTCTTCAGCAGGAGCCACAGCAATTGCAGCCATCATAATATGCCCATTGATCACTGTTTCCACCTTCCAGACAAAGAAATCCCTCAAAGTCAGAGATCACCCAGCTGTGGCTCTACATTTTCATAAGGCTTATGAATCATCACAATGGAAATATAATGGCAGCTTTCCATTTTACTGCGACTGAACTTCCATGATGTGAAAGGCTAATGTGTCACAGAAGTCTTTAAAGCTGCATTCATTCAGGTTTTTGCCCCTGGTGAGCTTGAGATTTGACTCGTTCAAGACTATAAGTCATACAAATTACTCTGAATTAGTTGTCTATATGTCATATAGGTTTGTCAAACTTTGACTAATGCTATACTGTATATCTGCTAATTACACTAGGTGATAATAGTAAACTTGTTCTCTTGACCCAGAGTATCACCACTGATGTCTTTGTTTGTACAAGTGTGCCCTCTGCTGTTTGGTTAATTTTTGTACACCCATACAGTATGTGTCTGCTCCATAATGCCAGTTCCACATCTCTATATTCTACACAGGGTGCGACGGGCCCAGACGGACCAGTCGGAGACAAAGGAGTGATGGGAATGAAGGTGAAATATTCAGCAATGATTCTTGTAGAGCTAAGTTACTGCATAACATCTTACAGTCATGATACCGATTAGAAAATAGTCCTAAACTTTCATCATTAATAGTCCCTTTTTTGGACCAAAGTCATTACTGTTTCCTATTGTTTATAAGCACAATTAGAGCTGCATATGATTAATTTGATATTAATCTTCACTGGCAGCTTTGAGATCTTGAAACATTTAGCTTAGTAATTGTTTGCAATTTTATCCTCGTGAGATGTCAATAACTTCAAAATGAAGTTAATGGTGCTTGTTGAAAGCGGCGTAGTAATGCTATTTTTCAAGATGAAGTACTTGACATCCTCCATGCTGGTATGCACTGCATTTTCCCTACCACAGAACAAAACAACATATGAAACACATCTAAATTGTCAGCACAATATTTTATCAACCGGAAAAGCTGGAAACAGGGTGCATTGAAAGTTGTCTCAAAACATTTCCAAAATACTTGGTTTTGGTTTGATCAAACAGAATAAAGAATATTTTGATTTAGTTGTTGCAATGGAAAATAGTTGGTGACTGTCTTGGGTTCTGTCCCCTTTCTGCAGGGTCCTGAAGGCCCACTGGGAAAACAAGGCTTCAATGGACAAATGGTAAAATTACAGTTTTATTTGTTTTATTTCTCTTCAATTTTGACACTGTCCAAAAAAATAAATAAATAAAAATAGTGCAAAAATTGAGGTTTGGGTTTCTGTGGTTTGTCAATGATGTAATACGAGATGGTTAAAATATATCTCTGGCAAAGGAAAGGCTATTTCAGAGAAAAGCGTTTGTAATTATTTCTTTCTTCTTACAATGACATCATTAGACCTTTGTAATCAATGGACCTTATGTCGTTTTGGTTTGCAAAACTCTAACATTGAACATTTGTAGCTTTTAGAGGGTACAACAGCGTGTCACTGGGGCAGTATCCTCAAAGAGACACCTTTGTACCTTGTACCTTGTACCTTATGCCCATAGGGTGCATATTTGTACCTTACAGTAGTTTTATGTACCCTTAAGATAGTAATATATACTCTTATTGCACTACTATGCACCTTTTAAGGGTAAAGAACTGGGAACTGCCCCAGTGACAAGATGCAGAGACACTGAGTTTCTCTCTTGTGTAATAGGGTAAACTTGGTGAAACTGGTGAAAACGGACCAACTGGATTTCTTGTGAGTAATTGATTGTTTGATAAACATTTTCAACAGTTTTTGATATATACATTTTGAAATTAAATATGTATATCCATTTTTTAGGGTGTTCAAGGGCCAACAGGACCTCCTGGCGCAAAGGGCATCTTAGGAGAACCTGTAAGTACATCATTCATGTATAATGAATGAGGATTTGGACTGTCAAGCTCCAAAACGACAAAAAAGCACCATAAAATGTTCATGAAGCAGTCCATCTATTCCAAGTCTTTTGAAACAGATTGAAATTTAAGCCTTTAATAACTGACTTTGTTCCCCTCCGCTGTTCAGATCTGATTAAAATGGTACCATTACATGTGACATATCAGGTTTGATGATGTCAATGTGATGTGACAAAACTAATGGCAGCATTTATTCTTGAGTAAAACAAGATTTTCTACTAGAAAAAAACAGGACTTGATTTTATCCATATGGAATTGAGTGATTTGTGATAAGTTACTGTTCTGTACCAGAACGGAGCCAGGTTTGGAAAAGAGTTTGCAAAAACAATGCCCGAATAGCTATTTGGCTATGTGTTAATATTATTAAATGGTCTGGAAAGTTGTTTCAGAGGTGTAGCAAATAGGTTGTTGAAAGAAACCGTTTTGGTGCCCATTGACTTACATTGTTTGGAAACTAAGACGGGTGCTGCTGGATCTCTTGGGAATATGGGAGAGCAAGGCTTGATTGGACCTCGAGTAGGTTCATTTTGCTAGGCGTAATAGACTTTATTCAGGAGAGATGCCATTACTGTCAGTTCAGTGGGTTTCACTGTTGTATACCTCAGTGACAATCAATCAAGCTTGTGTACTATAATTAAATGTGCTTAATTATATTGAATGTGTGCTTCAAATCTTAAAATAGATTTTAAAGATACATTATACACAGCATTGTACATTATAAAACATGTTTTAATAATCTTATTGTGCTTGAAAGAAGTACACTTATTTTATGTACAACTTTATTACAAATCTATAATTACAAATGTATTTAAAGATGTACTTAAGTCCTGCTTCAGTGGGTCTGAAAAGCTCTTGAAAGTTTAGCTAATTTAATTGAATTTACATTTAAATTATAATAAATTTTTATTTTATTATAATACATATTTGTTTAATTGCAGTTAAGTGTATGAAAACGTTACATTCAGGCTAAGTATCTATCATTTTGACGATAGTGGTCCTGACAGAATTAAGTTTAAAAGGTTCAAATTTATTTCTAAAGCACTGAATAAAACAACAATGTTGACCATAGTGCTGTACAAACAATAAAGCAATTAGGAGAGGAAAATATTTAAAAAATCATAACCATGTATCTAATAATATCTAATAAATATAAAAAGAGAAACCTTACAAGAACAATCGAAATGTATCTTAATTAAGGACAAAAGGGACACATATGGCACGAGCAACCTTTGCAACCTATCGAACGCTATCATAAAAAAATATGTTTTCAGATGGCTTTTAAACTGACCTCCCTAATATATAGTGGTAGGCTGTTCCATAGTTTTCATCTTAGACCGAGGAACAACAAGAAGTTTCTGTGATTGAGATCATAAAGATTTCATTGGCTTTTGTTCCTGAATTAGATCCGCAATAAACGATGGAGCTAAGCCATGATTTAAATACAAATAATACGATTTTAAAACGAATCCTAAAAGAAACAGGCAACCAATGCAATGATTTTAACACCGGGGTTATATGATCTAATTTACAAGTGCCTGTGAGCATTCTTGCAGCCGCATTTTGGGCCATCTGCAATCTATCTAAAATGTTATTTTGAGCCCAATAATATAGCGAGTTGCAGTAGTCTAATCTCGAAAACATAAATGCATGAATAACCTTTTCCAAATCTTTCTGGGATAAAAAAGGCTTAATCTTAGAGGTCATCTTCAATTTGAAAAAGCTCATTCTGATGATTTCATTCATCTGTTTGTCAAAAATGTATTATTTCCGTAACAAGTACTCTTTTTAAAAGTATGACTAAAGTGTACTTCTTTTTCACAAGGGATGGTTTATTAGATGCAACCTAGAAACTCAACACATTTGTCCTTCACAGCTTTGTTTTTATTTGTGTCAAGCTAAATATGGCATCTACCCTGATTAAAGTCCACATTTGTGTCTTTTTAAAGTAGTTCAGTGAATTTTTTTAATGACGTTCTTGTTCAGGGCTACCCTGGGCTTGATGGGGAGGCTGGTCTCAGTGGCCCTGATGGAGCTAAGGTCAGAAAAGTACCAAATACATTTTTTTTAATTTAAGCATGATCACTTTATTTAAAAATGTTAGTAGACGTTATGTTTGTTTGCTTTGGATTTTATTAAGTTTCAATAGGTGTTGTTGTCTCTAGGGTGAAAAGGGTGACATTGGTTTGGAAGGAGAAACAGGTGAAAGAGGAGCCATCGGATTTAAAGGAACAGAAGGCCGTGTTGGAGATCCTGGCTTAACAGGTGTCAAGGTGCGTGCTCTTTTCCGTTTCGAAATCAAAGATCATTTTGTCAAGGTTTTCATGTGTATCTCACTCACAGTGCTATTGTTTTTGTGGATTTATCAGTGAAAAACAAATAGTTGTGATATTTTGCTGACTATTCAATTCTGAAAAAAAGCAAGCAAATCTAGGCCTGCTGAAAAAAATAAATAGTATTAACTATTTTTCTTTGTTTCAGCTAGTCAAGGCTAGTGCTTTTTTTTATTTGTGGAAAGTTTTAGATAGGTTTTGAACACCTTAAGCTGGTTTTAGCAGTTTCTCAGCAGGACTGGTGTAAACTGTCTCACTCTAGAGCACTTTATTGCTCATAGCACTTGCTTTAAGGTTTTATTGAAGACTGAGCGATGTTGGATGACAGCAGAGACAAACTACACCTCCTTGTGGTAGTTCTGAATGATTAAAGTCATAAGTCAGACTGAACGTGTTCATTCAGAGATGTCTCTCAATTCATTTTTGCTGTGTCAACTCTGTAATGTAATTTCAGGGCCCTGAGGGCAAACCTGGAAAAACTGGTGAGAGGGGAAAACCTGGAGAGAAGGTATTTCATTTATGACATTTTAGTTTACATGATTATCCATCACTACTGTTATGGGGCAACTGAGACAAGAAACGTGCGGATCCATTTGCAAAGCTTTATTCTAAAACATAGTCAAAACAGGCAAGGGTCGGACAATGGCAAACAGGTATATAGAGGGCAAGACTAAAGAGTAATCCGAAACACAGGCAATGGTCCAGGCGAGGAATAAACAGTATCTGAACAGGGTGAGATGAGAGGGGTAATCCAAGACAGGCGATATACTTCAGGGCAGGCAGAGATCATACAGAAACGAGATATACAGGCTAGGATCAAGACACGAATGACTAAGGCAATAAACAGGATTAAACTAGACTTTGATTCAGAAGTGAAAAACAAATAGTTGTGATATTTTGCTGACTATTCAATTCTGAAAAAAAGCAAGCAAATCTAGGCCTGCTGAAAAAAATAAATAGTATTAACTATTTTTCTTTGTTTCAGCTAGTCAAGGCTAGTGCTTTTTTTTATTTGTGGAAAGTTTTAGATAGGTTTTGAACACCTTAAGCTGGTTTTAGCAGTTTCTCAGCAGGACTGGTGTAAACTGTCTCACTCTAGAGCACTTTATTGCTCATAGCACTTGCTTTAAGGTTTTATTGAAGACTGAGCGATGTTGGATGACAGCAGAGACAAACTACACCTCCTTGTGGTAGTTCTGAATGATTAAAGTCATAAGTCAGACTGAACGTGTTCATTCAGAGATGTCTCTCAATTCATTTTTGCTGTGTCAACTCTGTAATGTAATTTCAGGGCCCTGAGGGCAAACCTGGAAAAACTGGTGAGAGGGGAAAACCTGGAGAGAAGGTATTTCATTTATGACATTTTAGTTTACATGATTATCCATCACTACTGTTATGGGGCAACTGAGACAAGAAACGTGCGGATCCATTTGCAAAGCTTTATTCTAAAACATAGTCAAAACAGGCAAGGGTCGGACAATGGCAAACAGGTATATAGAGGGCAAGACTAAAGAGTAATCCGAAACACAGGCAATGGTCCAGGCGAGGAATAAACAGTATCTGAACAGGGTGAGATGAGAGGGGTAATCCAAGACAGGCGATATACTTCAGGGCAGGCAGAGATCATACAGAAACGAGATATACAGGCTAGGATCAAGACACGAATGACTAAGGCAATAAACAGGATTAAACTAGACTTTGATTCAGAACTAGAAACTCAAACTAGGACTGGGAACTGGCTCCGTAAAGTAGCTACGCATAACAGCATAAATGCTAAACAATACTCGGCGTTGGATGGTGGTGTGAGACTGATTTATATAGTGTGTGTGATTGGTTTCAGGTGAGCCTGTGATTAGTGCAATGGAGCATGGGAAATGTAGTCCAGGGTGATGTGTAACAGTCTGTGTTGTGTGAGAGTCAATATAATGGGAGGGCGACCTCTGGTGGCAAGCAGACGGAAGTTAATGGAAAGGATTCGTGACAACTACTCTCAGTACTTATCATTATATATCAGTGTGTGTGTGTGTGTGTGTGTGTGTGTGTCCATATGTAGAGTATAAATAATGCTTAATTTCATTTCAGGGCAGCAAAGGTCACCAGGGTCACCTTGGCGAGACTGGACCAATGGGAGAACAAGGTGCCATGGGTTTCATCGGTCCAAAAGGAAGCAGAGGAACTACTGGGTTTATGGTAAAATGTTCAACGTTAGAGTTTTGCAAAACAAAACGACATAAGGTCCATTGATTACAAAGGTCTAATGATGTCATTGTAAGAAGAAAGAAATAATTACAAACACTTTTCTCTGAAATAGCCTTTCCTTTGCCAGAGATATATTTTAACCATCTCGTATTACATCATTGACAAACCACAGAAAATGCTGATACTTATGTTATTATACATCAAAGAAAATATTGTAGAGACCCTTTTTTAAATTGTGTTTTGTTGAGGCAAGAATGGAGTTTCTGATTATGCTATCTGAAGCTAACTCTGATCCCATGGCTATTATTTTCAGGGTGCTCCGGGAAAAATGGGTCAGTATGGAGAACCAGGTTTAGTGGGATATGAAGTAAGTGTTATTTAACATAGACGTGCCTTATAAGACTTTATTTTACCTCAGCATAAAATGGTACAAAATCAAAACAGCTGCTCTACATTATGTGAGGTTCTTAAGTTAATAAGGCTTGTTAGAACTTGTCTTTAAGCGCTCAAATGGTTCCATACTCCACTATTTCTTTTATTTCCTCATTTACTGTAGGGTCATCAAGGACCAAAAGGTCCAATGGGATCCCCAGGACCAAAAGGTGAAAAGGTAAAAAATTAAAAGGCCTTATAACTAGAAGCTCATTTAACAAAGGAGTGTTATTTGTATTTGTATAATAAAAACAAATGGTCTTTTTCCAAAAATCCAAATTAATTTTGGAATTAATGTAACCTTAGCATATCCATAGCACAAGGTCAAATTTATACCAGATTGAAAAATCCAGAAATCAATACTGAAATCAATTTCTACACTTTTCAGGGAGAGCCAGGTGACGACAGGAAGGTTGAAGGTCCACCTGGTCCTTTAGGTGACATCGTGAGTCAGTCCACTAGATTTATTACACATTTTTGCTTTGTTTTTTGTGAAAAGTCTGGATTCCAACCTGGTCAGTATGTTTGGATTTCACTGGGGTTTAGGGACCTGTTGGCAACAGTGGAGAAAGGGGACAGCCAGGTGACCCTGGATACCCAGTGAGTTTTGATTTAAGAAATATACTTTTAGACAATTCCAAAATAGATCACTAATTAAATATACATTCTATGTCAATTTTGAATCTCAATTTGTAAATCTCAAGGGTCACGAAGGTGTTCATGGGGAAAGAGGAAACCCAGGGGCTCCTGGACTCCCTGTGAGTGAATCTACCAATAATGACATCTTTATACTGTTATAGTTTTATTAATATTTTGAATTTGATGTTATTCTTGTGTCTTGTTCTTATTTTAATTTTGTTAAATTTTTTGTGATTTTGTTGTGTATTTTGTCATTTTTATTTGTTTTTAAATATGTCTGTGTAGTTTTTATGAAGTTTTAGTTTATTTAGTTACTTAAACTAAAGTGAAATGAAAAATGTTGCCTTGGCAAATAGCTTAAAAAATAAAACTAGTATGTTTTTTTATATTTAATTTTATTTCGTTTATTTTATTATAAGTAATCAAATTATTTTTTTATGGTTTTAGTTTTCGTTTTAATTAACAATAATTCCCCTGCTTTAAACTGAGCTATAAAATATATATTTTCTTCATCTTATTTTCTCTGTCTATAACCACAGGGAAATGCAGGGCCAAAAGGTTTTCCATGGCCTAAAGGATGCAAAGGCAATAAAGTAAGACTTTACCAAGACAAACATATTGTGGATTTTGTTTTGTTTAAATATAATGCACAAATATGGCTTCTATTTTAAATCATATAATATCCAACTCAACTGAATAACTGATTTTTTTAGGGTGCAAAAGGCAAAAATGGTCCAAGTGGTGAATCTGGAAAACGAGGCTCCGCTGTAAGTATGTTTTTCTTACATCATGACAGAACCTACAGCTGATGTTAACATAAACAGTTGTGTTTCTCTCATAGGGTCCTGTTGGTCTCCCAGGCCCCAGAGGAGTTGTTGGTCGTGAGGGTCTTGAGGGTGATCCTGGGGTAGAAGGAGCCCTTGGGAAAGATGGAGTTAAAGGAATGCCAGTAAGACAATGAATGTAATTCTCAATGTTTTCAATGTAACACTTGAAATTGCCCAGGTGTGTTTTGTTGTTTGTGATGTTTTGGTTTGTTTTTTCCCTGTTATGCACATTAGGGTGAGCATGGAAGTGATGGGCAGGTTGGTCCGCCTGGAAAACCAGGTCCTCAAGGAAACACAGGTGTACCAGGTCTGCCAGGAATTCAAGGCTCTTTTGGGCCAAAGGTACCTTGCTTATATGCATATATGGTGACCTGTTCTTTATGTTTGTGTGTCATCATTATCTGCATCTATAGCAATATTAGCTGGTTTTAGCTTAAATATTTCTCGATGTTCTGACTTAGGGTGAAAGGGGCATCCCTGGCCAAACTGGACCTCCAGGCAAAAGAGGATTTAATGGGGGAATGGGATTTCTTGGAAAACAGGGTGACCGAGGGGTCAAAGGGCAACCAGTAAGTAGTGATTCTCTGACAATTGATCCATTCCAAATATGACAAACACACCAATGAATACTGCTCTAGTGATTTCTTTTGTTTAAATAATGGACCTCTGAAAATAAAACAAAGAACATAATTGCCAAAATCAGACAGTAACTTCTTACACAGCTCTATGTAATACTGTAGTTTGAGTTTCAGTGTTACTTAGTCCTTCCAAAATCATTCTATTAACGTTTCTTATTATTATCATTATTGAAAACAGTTGCACTATTTAATACATATGTAGAAACTGTAATTATAAATGCATTATAAATGTCTCATTTGGTCTGTCACATTTGATCAATTTATTGCATCTTTGCTGTATAAAAGTATTAATCTGGCCCTAAACTTTCTAAATGGTAGTATATTTGCATGTTTTCAGTCTATTTAACAGTTGATGAATGAATGACAATGCATTTCTTTAACACTTCCTGAAGAATAGTGTCATGCCATACTGTTACCTATTTATCATCTGTTTATATTTTTCTTTAGGGTGATACTGGTGAACAGGGATTTCCTGGAGTTCTTGGAATATTTGGACCGAAGGTAAACTTTCTTCTTGCACCAACGTCAGCCTATAAAGTCAACTTGTTATGTTTTGATGATCAAAATTCATCCTGTTTGCTTTAATGTAAGTGAATGATCAATCTAAATATCTTATTCTGAATGATTAATTTAAATTTTCCAAATTAAAAAAATTTTGTCTTCACAATCTTTCTTCAAAATGTAATCATTTCCTCCATGTCCTTTTTAAACTGATGTTACCAGGCCCATTTTTAAACTGCCATATAGAGACTCTACCTATATTTTTTCTAGGTAAATATCCTGTTTTACATGGAAATGTCACATTACAGAAGAAAAATTATGTCTTTTATATTCTGAGGATATTCAAATTAATTACTGTTTTACTAAAATTATCAAAGAGACTGATAGATGTGTAACGATTACACCACAGATCAAATCTATTTAAGTAAAGCTGTTAGGTGTTTAATAATATATAAAGATGCTTACATAAAATATATCAGTGACTGGTCTTGTGATTAATGAACAGTATAAAATCTTTATATGATTCACCAAAATCCAATTAATAAGGCAAGCAGGTATTGTTTACTTCTCATTTAATGCTAAGCCTTCTAGCCAACAGTGCAAGCTAGCATTTCATTACAGCTAGAGGCAAGGCAAGTTTATTTATATAGCACATTTCGTATACAATAGTAATTCAAAGTGCTTTACATAAAAGAAAGTAAAATATTCATAATATCACAAGAATAAAACAAGGAATTTAAAAACTTTGAAAATGATTTAAAAATTTATATAAAACTAATTTAAGACAGTTAAAAATAGGATTTCGTGTCATGGACTTCAGTTTCTGTACAAGCTGTACAAGCACTATAGCTTAAGATGACAAAATAGCTTCTTTAAGCAGATTTATAGGGTTAGTTCACCCAAAAATGAAAATTAGTCCATAAATTGCTCACCCTCAAGTCATCCTAGGTGTATATGACTTCCTTCTTTCAGACGAATCCAGTCGGAGTTATATAAAAAATTGTCTTTGATCTTTCAAGCTGCTTAATAGCACTCAGCGGGTGTTGCATTGCTTCAGTCCAAAAGAAGTGAAATAAAAAGCGCCCATCCGTTAAAAAAAGTGTCTCACACGGCTCCGGGGGGTGAACAAAGGCCTCCTGTAGCAAATCAATGCGTTTTTGTAAGAAAAATAACCATATATAAAATGTAATAATCATGTTAATGTAGCTTAATGTAGTTTATTTAAGTTCTTTTGGACTGATGCATGCAACACCCACTGAGTGCCATTAAACAGCTTGAAAGATCAAAGAAATTTTTTATATAACTCCGACTAGATTCGTCTGAGAGAAGAAATGCACAATGCACAATGGCGCCGACGCTGATGGCTGCCTCCGTGGCGTGACCAGACACAGGAACAGTTTTTTCCCTCAGGCCATCCATCTCATGAACACTTGACAATAACTGTGGAACACACACTATTTATTCACTCATACACTTATTTATCTAACACACACACTCAGTCTACATTTCAATTTGCACATAATATACCTGTACATACAACGGTCTATTGTTATATACCTGTACATACAATTGTCGATTTGTATATTTTTATTCCTTAGTTACTTGTTCTATTTTTCTATTTTTTATTATCTGTGTTTTTGTTCTGTCACTGTCATTCTGTTACACTGTGGAGCTTCTGTCATGAAAACAAATTCCTCGTATGTGTAAACATACCTGGCAATAAAAACTCATTCTGATTCTGAAAGTCATATACACCTAGGATGACTTTAGGGTGAGTAATTTATGGCCTAATTTTCATTTTTGGGTGAACTAACCCTTTAAGAGAGCTAGTCAAGCAATATAACCAAACAAAAGCTGTGATGTAATGATTTTCTGTATTCTGATATTGTAAGACCATTCTTACGTGTTTGTGTCATTCACAGGGGCCTCCCGGAGACCTTGGCCCAGTGGGTATCCAGGGCCCAAAGGGTCCTCAGGGTTTAATGGTAAGTACCACTGTGAGAACTGTCCTGAAAACCTAAATGAGATGGATGAAGAGTTTTTGATCAGCAACTACTGTAGGTGTTTCTTCTTTTAAGGGTATGCAAGGCGCCATCGGACCCGTTGGTATCATTGGGCCCAGTGGTAACCCAGTATGTATGATATGAGTCACTTAAGGTAGCTTGATGGTGGTTTCTAATTAGGCGCATACTCTGAAAAACACCCTTCTCTTCCTCTCTTTGTATTAGGGACCACAAGGAGACAAAGGAAATAGAGGGGAAATTGTAAGAATCTAGCGGGATCAAATTCTAGGTGATTTCCAACTGAATTCACGGTTGAAAAAGGGTTACCTACTAAAAATTACATTTTATGTTTCTCCTTTTATTTTAAACAGGGTATTCAGGGACCCAGGGTATGTTTCCCCAATGCCCTTCAACCTTACTTGCCTTTTTACATTTAGATAAATTAAGTGGTACTATTTAACCAACATAAAAATTTTCTTTTCATTCTCCACTAGGGACATCCAGGTCCTCGTGGACCACCTGGACCTCCAGTAAGTAGTCTTGATGCATTTTCACAACCATGTGAATAGTATGTGTATCATGCTTAAGTTGCATTTAGCTGAAGCTGATTGTAATCAATGCTTTCTCTTTCTTTATCTCTCATTGGTTTATAGGGGCTTCCTGGTGTATCTTTTCCTCCTGTAAGTATACCTTGTATATCTTTGTCTAAAAAAATTGAAGTCCATGACACTAAAAGTTCTTGATAGAGCTAGAGCATCTCTACAGGTGCTATGTAAATGTACAGGGGTGCACTTAAGAGGTGTGCAGCTGCGCAGACACGACCAAAAGAAAAAAATGTGCTGGGTAAATAAGCGCTGCCAGTTTCAGAGCAAAACGCGGAACTGTGACATTTATTTTCCTGACACGCTTCACTCAGCAGCACTAAAACCAGCAGTGCATATACTGAACTTACTTCCCGGCAACCCGACAAAATAAAAACTTGCTGATTTTAGCTTTGAAAATGTAGAAAATGTATATAATAAAAAACTGTAAAAAACAAAAAAGTAAATGTTAGAATTATATTTATTAAAGGGATAGTTCACCCAAAAATGAAAATTATACCCTCATGTCATTCCAAACCTGGAAGACCTTTGTTCATCTTCGTAACACAAATAAAAAAGATATTTTTGATGGAATCCGAGAGCTCTCTGACCCTGCAATAAATTTTCTTTGCACGCTAAAAGTATTTTCATAGCTTCATAAAGTTACAGTTGAACCACTGATGTCACATGGACCATTTTAACAACGTCCTTGCTATGTTTCTGGGCCTTGATCGTGGTAGTTGCATTGCTGTCTATGCAGGATCAGAGAGCTCTCGGATTCCATCAAAAATATCTTCATTTGTGTTTCCAAAGATTAACGAAGGCTTATTGGGTGAGTAATTAATGACAGAATTTTAATTTTTGGTTGAACTATCCCTGTAAGTGTACAATAAAATTATTGTATTTTTATTTAATAAGCATTTTTTATTTTAAAATATAATAGTGTTATCACACCTTATTTATTATTTAGTTATTTATTTTATTAAGAAGTTTAAAAACTAAATAAAGTGCAATAATACTATAATTACTAGTGTTAATTATTTTTATAGCTATATTTAATGGGTCACACTATGTGCAGTGTGAGCACCAATCCAAATCACTAGATGCTCTCATGAAAACCAGCCTGAAAAATGTATGTACACCCCTGTAAATGCACTCTACATTAAAAAAAAGAGCGAAAAAAAGAATTAAGGTACACTTCAAAAAATGATTTAAAAGCCTGTCCTGAATTTAACTGGTTATTTCATCATATAAAACAACCCACCAATGCAAAAAATTATTGTGGTCTTTACACTTGACCACTTGTCTACTTACATGACATACTGTATTTCCATTGTTTTTTCCTGAAGTGTTCAAGTTGTTGTTAAGACCACAGGTGTGTGTAGAATTTTTTTTAAATACTCTGTTACTGTCCACCAATGATAAAATATAAAACAACAACACCAACAGGACAGCCGATACACCACATATTATGAATTGATTAAAGACTCGATCTAATAAACTTTTTTTCATATTAAAATCAGTTTACTTTCAACTTCCTTGATATTCATGCTCTACTTTGTTATCTCTTATGAAAATGAGGCTCTTGGTGTTGCTTTACATGTTGTTATGGATTCCCGCTCTACATTACGGTCCGAGGTAAGTGCCAACAGTGTTCAACATCAAGTATTTAAACTACTACTGTTCATTTTAATGTCATTTGAATGCATAAACAATCATAAATTACAGACATTTGTTTGTATACATTTTATACAGTCAATTTCATGGCACCGATTACAGGTTAGATAAGGAACATTAACATTATGTCAGGACATCATAGAGCTGACTTTATTTCGTTCCAATCCACAGAGGTATGAAGACACTGAGCTTCTAATTCTGGACCAGGGAACCCAGATCTTTAAGACTCTTCACTACCTCAGCACTCTAATCCACAGCATCAAGAATCCTCTGGGAACACAGGAGAATCCTACCAGAATGTGCAGAGATCTGTTTGAATGCGAGCACAGGTTGAACGATGGTGAGATATTTCTAGGACATTATCATTGTAAATGTCATTGTTTTATCTCTAAAGCTACATTAACTCCACCAATTATGGACTCGTTCATTTTTTTTTTTTTTTTGTATTTTACTAAAGGCACTTATTGGATAGATCCTAACCTGGGCTGCTCTTCTGACAATATTGAAGTGACCTGCAACTTCACCAGTGGAGGTCAAACCTGCCTTAAGCCAGTCGCTGCTTCCAAGGTCTGTAAAGCTGACAACTAGCCATTATGAGCAGGATTGCACTGAATCTGAACTTGCAGAATACTGATTTCTGTACAATTTAAATGGCCATAATTCAGCAAACTCTGCTTTTGTGTATCAACATTTCTTCTCCTTTATGTGTTTCCATTGTTGTAATCAATTGATTATGATGTTATTTCTTTCCTGAAGTTGGAGATTGGAGTGAGTCTGATCCAGATGAACTTCATCCACCTCCTGAGCTCTGAAGCTGTGCAGATCATCACCATTCACTGCCTGAACGTCTCTGTTTGGGCAGCAGGGGACTCTAAAACACCTTCCTCTAGTGCGGTGTACTTTAAAGCCTGGAACGGACAGATAATCGAGTCTGGGGGATTCATTGAGCCTGAGCTGATAAAGGACGAGTGCTGGGTATGCATAAAGTTATATTAAAACATTTTTTGTGTTCTAGTGAATAACTTTTTATTTATTGTGAAGCACAGGGCTCCCAAACAGGGGTTTGTGAGCTAATAAAAAAATGTATAATTAATTATAGCAAATGTAAAATTAAAACAGCTATAGTCTGATGCACTGTGTGTTTCAGAGTGAAGCATGGCACTGTATTATGATACAGAGTTTTCAGCTTTATAGAGAGGCTTGGCACACAATAAATGGCAAAATCTGAACGTGCTGCAAATTCAACATTTGCATTTGGGAACGCAACGTGCACTAGCTTTATAATATTAGTAAATTACACAATTGTAATTTATATTTATATATATATATATATATATACAGTATATATATA